GTCCCGTACCTTTAAAACCAGATTAATTTCTCACTCCTGTGTGAGAACACCCAGTCTAGCCGTAGTTAGCCTGAACTACGTAAGCTCTGATCTTCCATGCAGTGTGGAAGTACGTAGGCACAAGACGCGAAGTCTTGGCGAGCCAATTCCCTGTAGTTTCCCGAACTACGTTGACTCTGACTTTCTCTCTTGAGAATACGTAGGCATAGAGTGCGACGCTCTATCGAGTCAATTCCCTTCCGTTTAGATTTAGCAGCCGTAGATAGATTGTTTTTGCATCCTTTAGACAACCCAAGCAAGCGTGGATCCCGTCGAGTACGACGGACGTGAGGGGTGCTAATACCTTCCCCTTGCGTAACCGACTCCCGAACCCAGGTTTTGGTTGCGATGACCATACCTTTCCCATTTTTTGCGAGGTTTACTTCGAGCGTTTCCTTTCCCTCCGTTGGGATAAATAACGCACGGTGGCGATTCTTCTGTCAGCCGGCGCCGATTTTCGCAGTAGCGACAACAAGGACTCCTTCATGAGGATCCATCTTGTAATTTCCTTGAGGGGTGACAAGGATTCTTTCACGATGATCCAAAATGTAATCGCCTCAAGGACGAAAAGAATTCCTTCATGAGGATTCAACATGTAATCACCTTAAGGGGCGACAAGGATTTCTTAATAAGGATCAAACATGTAATTGCCTCGAGGGGAAGCAGGTATTCCTTTATGAGGATCCATCATGTAATTTTCTCAAGGGGAGAAAATGATTCCTTTATGAGGATCCTTCATGTAATCGCCTCGAGGGGATGCAAGGATTCTTTCATGAGGATCTAACATGTAATCGCTTCAAAGGAAGGCAAGGATTCATATTATATTTCCTTAGGGGGGGATATAAGGATTCCTTTATGAGGATCTAGTACGTAATCGCCTAGTTAGGAAGCAAGGATTCCTTCATGAGGATCCAATACGTAATTTCCTCAAGGGGTGATAAGGATTCCTTTATAAGGGTCCAACATGTAATCTCCTCGGGGGGAACAAGGATTCCTTCATGAAGATCCAACATGTAATCGCCTTGGGGGGGGGGGGGGGGCAGGCATGGATTTCTTCAGAAGGATTCATCATGTAATTGCCTCGAGGGGAACATGTATTCCTTTATTAGGGTCCAACATGTGATATCCTCGAGGGGCAGCAAGGATTCCTTCATAATGATGCATCATATTCGACAACCTTAAATGAGATCTCGATAACATTCCTTCGCATCTTTGGTATCTTGCATGTAAATTAGCAATAATCTAAAACTTATATAAATAAAGTGAGGGTCTCATTAAAAACTGTATGTCACTTTAATAGCACGGGAAAAGAGTGTTCCTCGCAAAAAGGTACTATCCTTACAAAAAGGTTGAGAATATAACTCGCGTAAACAAAATAAACATCAAACAATCAGAATGATGCTCATTGCCCTAAAAATCATCTCTTGGTAAGAGATCTTCTTCCATAGTCTTAGCGTTCCCCCTTTCTATAATGGTCAAGTAGTCCTCTACAGATGTTTCTCCTTACGGAATTCACCTATTCTCATTTATGCCTATTCCGTTCATGCCTACTATTTTAACCTTCAACTTCAAGATTTTTACATAGCACTTTCTGCCAATCTCCTAGTTCCCCCCAGATAACACTGAATCTACAATTGATTAAACCCCCTTATCCCCCACTGAATCTACTATTTTAACAATCAATTACTAGATATCTTACCTTGATCTATCTGGCATTTTCTTCACCAAAGGTGATATTCAAAGTTACGTACCCCTTCACCTGCATCCTTCTCGAAGAAGGTAATCTAGACCTTTGAAGCTCCTTATCCGCCTGCCTTGGGGTCAAATGGTGAACCATCAATGACTAGGATTCTATGGACATATTTGTTTTGGGCAGAATTTGTATCTCAAACTCTAATGAATACTCTTATGATGGTGTTAAGCGTGTGGTAGATAGTCATGTCATTGTCTTTCTTACTTGTCTCATTTCATTTATTGGATATGGGGCTCCTAGGGACATCCCATTCTTATGAACTAGATCCCCTTATCCCCCACCGAGGTTATGCTTAACATACTTCTTTAAGTGTCCCTCATGGATCATGCGCTCTATCTTCTTCTTCTTCTTCTTCTTCTTCTTCTTCTTCTTCTTGAGTTGTAGATAGTCCTCGGCGTGGTGTCCCTTGATCTTATGGAACTTACACCAACTGTAAGGCTTGAGCCTCATGATGTCCACCTTCAGGGATGGTTGTTGATGAATGTCATGCATGTGAATAAACTCTCTCCATATCAGCTCTCTGTGAGTGTTCAATCTCTCCATATCAGCTCTCTGTGACATGTATTGGTTCCTTTGTGAGGTGTCTATATTGGGAATGTGTTTTTCTGCATCTCGGGCCTTCTTTTCAACATTCCTCGCCCTTTATGTAATACTCTACATGTGTCACTATTTCATCCAAGGATGTTGTTGGTCTATTGGCGATGGACTCATTAAAATGTCCCGTCCTAAGCCTATTATGGAATGCTCCTACGAAAATTTTCTGGTTCAATTGGATTACTTTAACTTTTGCTTTGGTGAAGCAGGTGAGATAGTCTCTAGAAAATTCGGAGGGGTCTTAGAAGATGTTGAGTAGACTGGTTGTGATCAAATTTGTATGCTTTCTTGTAGGGGAGTTAATGGACCACCTTTCTCATTAGGTCCTAGTAACTTGTGACAAAGAGTCGGGGAGACCTATAAACCACCTAAGAGTTTTGTCTATAAAGGTGCCTGACAGTAGTTTTCACTTAAAGAAGTCAGGTGCCCCAATGATGGTCATCTGGGTGTTGATGGAGGTTGTATGTTCATACGAGTTACTGCGTCCGTCGAACTTAGCTAATGATAGTGATTTGATGTTCTCTTGGACAAACGCCTCCCATATCTCATCTAAAAGAACTCGGGGATCTGAAACCTCCAATTCATTCACCATGCATGTCTCTTATTGGCGCTGATGGATATAAATGACGTTATCCTTTAGGGTTTGGTTATGGCGACGAATTTTGTCCATAGTAGTGCAGATCTCCCCTATGACACTTTCCTCTCCATCAGATTACTCGCTAGATGGAGTTATTGTATTTTTGTTCACCATGATGGACTAAGATAATGAATGTGAAGATAATAATTTGAATGAATCGGTGACCCGTGTCATTTTTACTAGGGCCCCGCGTTGGGTGCCAATTGTAGTTTCTAAAAGTACAAATACATGTCAATCCCTAGTGATTAAGAGCCGTCAGAGGCTTTAAGGTTGTTGTGAGGTTGAGAGCTAGCTCATGTGTGATGCAAAACCCCTTGTATGTATGTATTTATATGTTAAAGTTAGGTTGTCCATACAATTATGATGATAAGATATTTATACCCGTACCAGACCCGAATCCTAGACTTCCTTTGAAATTGCGACCACTTAGGAAGTGGGCAGTTTACCTCCTGATATTCGGGAGAGTGTGGTCTACCCTGTCACAACTTCTTACATATCATTACAAGAGGAGGACACATCACTCATTTTTGTCACCCATTTATGTTAAGCATGAACCTCCTCATTTTACTGCTCTCCTTGTATATATTGATGATATTGTACTGGCAGGTAACTCTTTAACTGAGATAAAACATGTTAAGACCCTCTTGAATCAGCAATTTAGAATTAAAGACCTTGGACAACTTAGATACTTTTTATCATATAATTTGACTTCATTCTCATATGGTTTTTTTATCGATCTTCCTCTATCAAAGAACTTGTATCCTATATATAACATTGAACTCTCTCTTTATTTAAATTTGAACGATCTAAAACTTTTTCAACATATATATTTTCAACAAACCCCGACAATAATCCGAGAATGGTTGAAAATCATATAATTTGACCTCATTCTCACTTTTTTCTTATCAATCTTCCTCTGTCGAGTATATTTACCGCCACAAGGTTTCATTGTGGCATTGCAACTCCTATAGACAGCTTGAATTTTGGCTATGGCCTTACTCTTGCTACCTACAACTTTTTCATTGCGGTCGTTATTGACCGTAAGAGCCATGTGAACACATCAAATAATTTTCTAAAGTGTGGTGAAATGTTCTTTAAGCATTGGTTCTTATTTTAGTAAAAGTTATACTTTTATTGATCAAAATTTGTTGGGTAAAAAAAGTTATAACATGAACAATTTCTTTTAAAAAGTTAATAAAATAAATCTTAACAGACATCAATCACATAAAATTAAAATAGAAAAGATCTAAACCACTTTTGCCAGTAGCACCAAAATGTTGTGTCCTTGGGGCGGGTACACCACATGACAACTTAGGCTTAAATCATATCTTTCTGCCAAATATTTGGGAACAAAATCAGAACAAGACACCATCAAATATCTCCACTAACGACCTCTAACAAACAATCATTAACAAAAAAAACTAGAATCACTTTATTTGCTTTCTTATTTCTTATCCATAAATTAAACAATCTTCAAATTTGCGCGTGACTCCGACTACGAAATATTATCAACCGAGAATCCTTGCATCTTAAAAAAAACATGGTTTGTTTTAAAAGTCTGACTGTTATATGAAAAATCATTTTTAACTCGATTCCCGAATAATTTAAAATTATTTTAGCTGATTTGTATTAGTTATTTTTTAAAGAGTTGAATAATTTATGTTTTAATTTTTGTTGAAAAGGAAATAATTTGACCTCACCTTGCATTTTATAACAGAACACAGATTTTGTAAATCACAACGGTCAAATTAGTTATCAAGATGAGGAATATATTCTTCTCTCTCTTTCTCTCTCTCTCATAACAAACACATGGATTAACTTGGAAGTTGGAACCATAGAAAACACCTCACAAAACACATGATGCTTTGGTTACAAGCATTTATTTATATCAATGTAACATCCAAAACTGTGTTTATACTTTCTCTCTCTATCTCTTACATCTAAAGATATCTTGCTTCTCAATTTCCAACATCTAAAATGGAACAAGGAAATGACCATAGACTATATGTGTCTATAGAGGATTTAGGTTTCAATGGTGAAAATTGCAACAATAGAGGAAAATTGAGAAAGATTAACCACTATGATGATGATACACATGTGTACACATCAAAGAACCTTGAAACAGAAAGAAAAAGGAGGGAGAAACTCAGTAGCAGACTTTTGATGCTTCGTTCTTTAGTACCAAACATCACAAATGTAATTAACCACTTAAACTTAACTCTTTATCTTAATTTTAATACTTTATCATTTAAAATATATTCAATTTTGAATTAGCAATTTAATTTGAATTTTAGATGAACAAAGCTAGCATTATTGAAGATGCTATCACTTATATACAAAAATTGCAAAATGAAGTTAAGAATCTCACGGAAGAGCTTCATGATATGGGAGGAACAAAAGAGAAAAAATCTGAGCTAAAAATAAGTGATTCCGCTGCTGAAGAGATGAAAAATTGGGGCATACAGGTTTTTTAAAATTCATTTATTTCCAAACAAGTTTTTATTTAAATGTATTCGCACGGTGCACTGACTCATACTCATACTTAGACACCAAACATTACACTGACACTCATACATTGCCGCTTGACAATTATATAGTTTATAACTGTACAGGAAGAGATTGAGGTGGCAAAGGTTGATAAGAATAAAATATGGGTTAAGATGATACTTGTGAACAAGAGAGGAAGGTTATTGAAACTAATTCAAGATTTGAATGATTCAAGGATTGAAATGATTGACATTAGTGTTACAACTATAGAAGGGGCATATCTTGTTACAGCAACATTACAGGTGAGAAACTTTTTAATATATGCTAATAATATGTTACTATTTGCTTTAATTTGAAAAAACTATAGGCTGTTATGTTAATTAAAAGTTTTATTTTATTTTTCAGGGCTTAGATGGTGAACCACTTGAAGAATATCACATTCCAACTCTTATTAAGTTAGATTAGAGCAATTGGAAAAGTTATTTTGCATTAATCTAACAAATTGAAATGAATTTTGGATTATTGTATCGCTCAATTAACTTGTACTACTGAATCTGTTAAGTTGTTTTCTATCATGGTTTTTTTTTAGGAGTTATATTTTATTTGGACTAGTGAACACAATGTTATTCTGGGTTTGGTTAGAATTATGTAATTTCAAAACTTTAAAGATAATGTTCAAAGTAAATCCATTAGAATAAGAAATTAATTACACTTTTATAATATTGATTGTTTAATGGTTTTTAAATTACAAATCTTTTATTAGTAGTATTATTTATGCAATGTCGTTGGTTTGTTTTAGTTTTAAAATTTTAGAATTTTTTTGATATTTTTATAAGTGATTTTATAAAAACTTTTTATTAAATATTATAAGTTTTTTTTAATTCATTTTTTTAATTAAAAGATTAATTTTGATATTCTATAATATAAATATATATTATTAAAGATCAAAATATAGTTGAAATCACGATATTTTTAAAAAGTTGTATTTCAAAAATGATTTTTATAAAAAGCTACTTCAAATAGTTTTAAAAGTAAAATATTTTTTAAAATTTTGATATTTAAAAAAGTTTTAATAAAATGATAAAATGTCTAAAATAATATCTTTAAAAAATAATTATCTAAACTAAATTTTCATTTGAGATGAAAAGTTTCTTTATAATTTTTTTAAAACAAAAATATGTTATATAATAAAAGAGATTATAATAACTTGTGGCTTTGATATATAAGTTAAGAATTAAATAAAGAAATGTTATTTTATAAACTATGCATTAATTTTAATAAAAATATAAAATTAAATTTTTAATTATTCTTTTAATATAAAATTTTTATAAGTGACTTTCTTTCTTAACTTGTATTCTTAAAATACAAGTTAGCATTACCATTAAAATAAATAGATTTATAAGAAAATAAACAAAGGTGCTCATAAAAAAAATTCAAATCATTTTTCTTTTAATTTTCTTAAATGGCTATTTTTCTTCTCTTTAAGATATTGTATGGCATTTATATAGATCCATTATTTAGAGACAAACATACTTGTTGATAACTTTATATATTGAGATTGTTCTTTGAGTTAATAACAAGTACGGATCAATCCTAAAAATTTGGAGAAAGAACGCGGAGCACATATGACTCTAAAGAAAGAGAATATATTTTTATTTATTCGTTGATATATTAAATATAATTTAAGTTGAATTATGTGGCTCAAGTTCAAAGTTAATTAGAGTTTAAGGTTTATTATTTAATTTGTTATATTTATTGTTTAGTAGTTAAGTTATTCAGGTTCATATAAATAAGACACTTTGTAACTCAGTATTATCATTCATTCAATAATATCAATCCTTATTTCATTATTCTCTCTCTTTCTCTCCTCACTAAAAGTGTTTCACGCATTAACAAATTGTTAAATAGAGCTCCGGTTAGATTTTTGATCGTGTTTTCAAGAATCACACATCAGAGATCGTGTTTCTGGGATCGTGAGTTGTTGTTGATCAATCGCTGCAAAGATGAATGGTAACAGAAATTTACCAAACTCTCTTCCAACTCTTGACGGCAAGAATTTTCTTCGATGGAGAAAACAAATGTAATCTCTATTTGACTCTCATGAAACCCTAGAAGTGGTTACTAACAGTGTTTCTGCGCTTGGTGAAGATGCAATTGACACACAGAGAACTGTTCACAAGGATGCCAAGAATAAGGATGGTAAGACATCATTTTACATCCAATCGGTGGTTGATGCAGTCAAATTCGACATAATCGATCATGCTCAATCGAGGAAGGAGGCATAGGATATTCTTGTCAAGTACTATAAAGGAGGCGAGAAAGTCAAGGTTGTCAAGTTGCAATCTTTGCAACGATAATATGAATTGTTTTCGATGGGAGAAGATGAAAATATTGCATGCTATGTGTCGAAGGTGCATAAAATTTTCCATCTCATGAAGGGTTGTGGTGAAAACCTAACTGATAAGATGATAGTTGAGACGGTAATGCATACGTTGACCTCTCACTTTGATCACATTATCATAGCTATTCAAGAATCCAAAAATCTTGAAACCCTAAAACTGGAAGATTTGGTTGGTTGGTTGGAGGCGCATGAGATTAGGATTGTCGAAAGGAAGGGAGTTCAAGATTCGATACAAGAACTACATGCTCAGTCGTGGAAGAAGAATAGTTGTTTCAACAAGTTCAAAGGCAAAATCAGCAAGACTCGGGGCAAGAAGTCTTGGTCGAATCCTCACAAGAATACAATCGATGATAGAACTTTTGAGTTCTTTAAAAAAGGAGAAGAAAATTCCTATTAGAAAGACAAATTAGAGAAAAAAAGGTATGCAATGCTATAACTGTAAAGAGTGGGGTCACTTGACCAAGCATTGTTGGTACAAGAAAGGCAAGGGATAGACAAAAGGAAAGGGCGAAGGAGCGAAACTTGCAGGTAAAGATTCAGATGATATGGGGGTTATGGATGTAGATGCAGATTACCATGTCGAATCCAAGACCTGGTTGCTCGACTCAGGCTGCTCGAATATGTTGAAAAGTATTTTCAGTGAGTTGTTTTATCCTATCCACAGGAATTGTGTTATCAGATATATAGATGTTCGACGTTCAATAGTTTAACGTTCTAAGAAAAAGGTTTTCAAAGAGTTTTTGTTTTGTAACATGAATTTTGTAGCAAAGAGTAAAGTAGAAAATGGAAGTTTTATTTTAAGAAAAGCATGTCAAGATTAGACCTCGTTAACCCCTTTCATACATATGTATGTTTAATCAAGGATGTGAACTTAGTTTCAATCAATACAATCGTGTATCCTCGCGAATCCGTTTATTTCTAAAGCGGCTCCGTGGGTATTATTGTATTAATCGCTAGCTGATTTCTCGAAATAAAAATCGAAACAATAAACATAAAGATCGATACAAAGAGAATATTGACTTTCAAATCTTGTAAGAGCACAGATTGTGTCTTAGTAATATCTCTATGTTTTGATGATAACATTAATGATAATTTGTATACAAGAATTATACTCTCTAAATTTGTTCTAAACTGTTTTCTACAGGCACAAAAGATTTTAATCTTAAAGAGCAAATTTGATGTGAACAATGAATTCTGAATGGCTCAAGAGCATCTGAAGATTTCAAGAATCTGAAGTATAAGAGCTTAGTTATCAAGATTCTGAAGATACAACACGCTGCATATATTATCAAGAATCTGAATGAAAGAAGACTCTGAGTGAAGAGACTCTGTATGAGAGAAGACTCTGATCTGAGTGAAGACTCTGATCTAAGAGCATGTTACGCTTCAAGCACACAGCTGCACCAGACTCTGATTCATCAACATCTGAAGAACATCTTAGGCTCTGAAGTTTCCAGAAGAATCTGAAGACTGAAGACTCTGATATTGATTGTTGATCTGAACTATCTGAAGAATTATTTGAAGAAGATTATTTTAATATATCCGTTGGAATATGCCAGCAAATCTTTCCTTAATTGGGATAGACAAAATTCTCTGCAAGAATATTATTCCTCTGGTACATTCCATATATGGTATAATCACAGCTCAGCAGACAATTGCTACACCCACTATTTGTGCGCCGTCTCTCTGCTGCAATAGTACAAAGGACAGTACTATTTGATATTGGAAATATCTTCTCTAACGGTAAAATATTCTCTCCAATATTCAAGTGGCTATATAAAGGAAATCATAGCTCATTCTTCAGTGACTAATTTTAAAAAGACGAAATTGACGAACTTATTGCAAGAACTCTCTCACGCTAAAAGCTCTCATATTCTTTGCTGTTCATACATTGTTCTAAACTTAGAGAAATAACACAGTTGTGTTTATAGCTTTCATAGAAGCAATTTCTTACTCTTACATTGTATTACATTAATTTGTAAAGGAAGTTTTCCTTAAGAGGATCTAGGTTAGATCAGTAGCTCTTGAGAAGACTAAGAACAGTTGTTCTTAGGTGTTGCTATTTGTAATCAGTTGATTTGAATAGTGGATTAAGTCCTTGTTGAGAAAGGCAAATCACTCTTGAAAAGGGTGGACTGGAGTAGTTGAGTTCAACGAACCAGGATAAAAATACTTGTGTTTTTATCTTTGATTATTTTCTGTCATACTTATTCAACCCCCCCCCCCCTTCTAAGTATTTTCTCACCTTCAGTTGGCATCAGAGCTCCGGTTCTGAGTGTGCATTCGCTTAACCGTGACAGATAAAGATCCAGTGAGAAGAATACTCTGTTATTTATTTGGTTGCTAATATGGGTGATATTCCTACATCAAGCAACAAATATGAAGGAGACAGAATCAGCACCAAACCTCCAATGTTTGATGGAGAAAAATTTGATTATTGGAAGGATAGACTTGAAAGTTTTTTCTTGGGGTATGATGCTGATCTCTGGGATTTAGTCATTGATGGGTATGAACATCCTACTAAGGATGGCAAAAAGATTGATAGAAAATCAATGACTGAGGAGCAGAAGAAAGAATTCAAGAATCATCACAAAGCCAGAACCATACTTCTTAATGCAATATCTCATACAGAGTATGAGAAGATTACCAACAGAGAAACTGCTCATGATATGTTTGAGTCTCTCAAAATGACTCATGAGGGAAACTCTCAGGTGAAAGAAACAAAGGCTCTGGCGCTGATACAGAAGTATGAAGCGTTCAAAATGGAAGAATCTGAGAACATTGAGACTATGTTTTCCAGATTTCAGATTCTAACAGCTGGGTTGAAAGTTCTGGACAAGGGCTACTCAACATCTGATCATGTCAAGAAGATCATCAGAAGTCTTCCTACCAGATGGAGACCTATGGTGACTGCATTGAAGCTGGCCAAGGATCTGAACAAAATCTCATTAGAAGAACTCATCAGTTCTTTGAGAAGTCATGAGATTGAGCTGGAGGAAGATGAACCCCAGAAGAAAGATAAAGGTAAATCCTTAGCTTTTAAATCTAACAAATCTGTTAAAGC